TTTGGCGTTGTGGGCGTTAAAATCGCCAAGGATCACGATCTCTGCGGATGGGACCTGTTGTAGCAAGGAATCTGTAGCTATTTGGACGTGGTCGATGAGTAGGTCTGTTTCGGCATTACCGCTATGGGACCTATAGAGGCACACGTAGACGCGCGGATGGTCGTCGCTGTCTACGCGTAGCCAAAGGATGGACAGGTCCGAACCTTCAAGACTGCCGAGGCGTCGAGAACAGATGTCCTCTCTGACATACACGCAAACTCCAGCCCGAGGCACAAAGGAGTGCTCCAATTTGTACCCCGGGTAGGAGAGATACGAAGTATCAGCCGGAGAGGACACCTGCGTCTCGGTCAGAAAGAGCAAGGCCAGCTTCGCCGTCTCAAGATGGTAGTGGACGGCGTTTAGGTTCGAGTGAAGTCCCCTGATGTTGCAGAAATTCACGGATAGCGTGGCAGGGGTCGCCTTGGTGTTCTTGCTCAGTTTGCCCCGAGCAGTTATTGTGTTGAGCGGAATTTTGCCCCCCCCAGAATACGCGGGGCAGCCTGAGCACCCACGCTCAGGAGTGGAATAGCATGGTCGTGGATGCTCAGCGAGGGATTCTCCAGGGGTACTGGTACCCTCCTGAGGTAGTTTATGACGTAATTCCGCTACCATGTTGATGGGGGGGGGGGGGAATTGGGCCTCCGGTCACCTGCACTCACCAGACGAAACGCGGAAGCAGAGCTTCCACTTCACGCCGGTATTCTGTGAGGTCGTGGTACTAACCCGGCTCGAGCCGGCCCATACGTGCAACAGCAAAAGCTGCTGCAAGGCTCTACCACCGTTAAAATATCAGCTATCTGCAGTGAAAGTCCCGTTAAAATCAGCCCAGCCATTTCGAAAAGTAGCCAAAACAAACAGACAGACAGATCTTTGGTTTAATTACCCTATATTATGACTATATAACGCAGAGATATTTTGAAATTATAGACTCCAATTTTATATTCAAATATTGGAAGTACAGACTAGAAATTAGTTGGGGTGTGATTCGAACTTTAGTCCTAGTAAGTTTGAATAGCCTATCATATGGAGGATGTCATGCGGGTCATGGTTGAATGCGGGCAAAAAGTACTTATTACACTCCTAGGGGGTGAAAATTGCCAAAAACCAAAAATGGGGGGTGGCTCGAACTTTAGGCATAGTCAGCTTGAATATCATATCATGTAAGGAATATCATGAGGATCATGGTTGAATACGGGCAAAAAGTTCTCATTACACTCCTAGGGGGCAAAATGGCCAAAAACCTCCTTCGTAGGTTCTTACACAGTCTCTACTTCCCGCATCCCACTTGTTCGTATAGACTATAGATTATAAAGAGCGAGTGCAAATTTTGTGAGTTTGTGTATATATGGGGGTAATTTCCGAAACCACTGCACTTGTTTCAAAAATTCTTGCATTATTCCAGATATTTTTAAATCTTTACTTTCAAAGAAGGGGTTTTGTCACACAGTGATTATGTAACCCCCAAAAAATATACACAAATAATAACAAGAAATTAACAAATGAACACATAATAACATCGATAGTTACAAAACTAAATACAATCAAAATAAATTTAACAACAAAAAATATATAATATGTTGCAAAATCAAGTGATATGATTACCTACCCTAAGAATAATAATTAGAAAATATTACATCTCTGTAATCTTATACTACATATACATATACATCATTCCAGATGGAATAAGCTATTTATTATGCATATACATATTGTGTGTAAAAGATAGAATGATGAAAACCGTGCACTGGCAGTGTAAGAATACTACCTCATAAAATTCCGTGGGTATCGTAAGTATCAACAGAGGGAAACTGAAACAAGAGATGGGCAGCAACATCTTTCTGATAACAACTCAAAAAATTACTAAACTTCAGTTGCGCACCCACGGCTAAGCGTGGCAATTATGGCAAAGTACTCTCTACAGTAATGTTGGGTAGGTTAGGGCTCCGTTTATAACAGGACTTTTATAAGACTTCAATTAAGGTTTCGATCACGAAGCAAATACAAAGAGGAGATGACATAAGCAACTGTGCACTGTGATTCTAACTAGGTCCTGACGTCATCACAGTAGGCGAGGATTTACTTAGTATACTGTTAGTGTTCGTCCTGTGCGCTTATGTGTCGAAAATAGCAAATCGTTGTATTTTCTTAGTATTAATAAGAAAAGAATGAAGTGTTGCGTTTTATCGTGTAAAGACTAGACAGATAGAGACAGGTGGCGCTATTTAAGCAGTTAACATAGGCTCCGTATAATATTTGTTTTAAAAATATTATAAACAAACTTTATTGAACTTTACTATAATATAAGTATTAATTTTAACATAATTTAGTATGTCCAGTGTTATCTCGCTGTTTGGAGCTAGATTATCAGTGTGAAGTTGATTAAAGTAATCCAGTGAATCAGTGAAGTATAAATTGTTATTTTAAAATAAAAATAAAATAAAATAACGTTTATTAGCATTAGTTATTGTTTTGAATTTTTTGTATTAAGACAGTGCTTTTAAAGTGAAACGCTAAGGAACGGTATTAATAAACTAAGTCACAGTGCTATCAACGTTTTATTTTTGTTATAATATTAGTTTTATTTTTGTTATAATTTAATAGTGAAAAAACATTAATTTAGTATTAAAGTGACGGTTACAGTAGTTCAAAATTTTAAAATTTGTGTACATCTGATTAAATCAGCGACATTTATGTGATAATTGATTACCAAAAGAGAGTAACAATTTGTGTATTATTACACCATCTATTAATTACTGGCTAAATAAGCTACGAACTTAGCTAATAGATCAATTTGATCAATCCTACGATCACCCGTTAGAGGACGCGCTCATTCATCTGATTTTATAATATTATTTTACTTTTGAAATAATCCTAGTTCTTTTGTATAAAATGATGTCACCACCAACCGAGACTTGTGCTGCATGTGTGAAACCTTTACGCAAAAGAGAATATCTACGTTGTTGTAGGTTTATAATGTCTAAATATAAGCAGTAAACGCTTTTATTCTTTTTATTCGTTTAATAAAGAGCGTAAAGATAATTGGGAATGCATTTCATGTGTGAGCAAACTTCCGCGTACGAATAATTTGAATACACCAATGCGTGCTGCTGACTCTGAAATTTCTAGTCCTCCTGCATTGGTTGTCTCACCAGAGAAATCGTATGTGGCAGTCCGCCACAAAAATGCTCAGGACAAGAATATTCATGTAGAACAGAGCAGCGTAATGGAGAATATTATGTAAGAATCGCTCGATGGTACTGCTATGGACTTCAAACTGCTTCTTAGTGAAATGAAGGCCATCCGTGCTGAAATGCGCTTGTTTCATAATTCTATAGCAGATCTCATGACTTCCATTAAGATGCAAAGCAGCCGCATTGTTTCCATCGAAACCAGGATATCAGCCTTAGAAGACAAATCAAAAGACTTACAACGCTGTGAAGTTTCGACTTTGAAGGAGACGGTGTCACAGTTGAAGTCTCAAATATTGGAACGTGATCAAGTCTTGCTCTCTAATCATATCCAGATAGCGGGATTCCCTGTAACGAGTGGTGAAAATACGGCACATATTATCTTGGCTATTGCCAAAAAATTAGGTGTGGACCTGGATGAGCGCGATGTGGTACCTTCAGAACGTACAGGTTTCATACGCGATAGTGGCGAGGGTCCGACAGTTCTGCGGCCTCGCCGTTTAGTTGTGCGATTGGCGCGTCGTGCTAAGCGTGATGCGCTAATACAGTCGGCACGCGTACGGCGCAATATCACCACTGAAGGTCTGGGACTGATGGGAATAGCTCGCAAAATTTATGTCAACGAGCGTCTTACTAAGCACAATAGCCGGTTATTTTATAAAGCCCGTGTGGCAGCCAAAAGCAATGGTTGGAAGTATGTACGGTCACGTGACGGAAAGATTTATTTAAGGAAGGAACATGGGAGTGAGCGACATCGGCTTCGGTTGGAAGAAGATTTAGCTAAGGCTTTTGGTGTTGAGGCTGTTGGCTCTAAAACTATGTCACTCGGCGAATAATAGGAATATATTATTTTTAATTATTTTAATACAAACTTCTCACATTAACTTACAATTTTTTAATTTCCTAAATGTTATGGTAACATACATTTCATTGTTATATTCAGGCAGATTAGCTATATATAAATTTAAGATATATAAATGTATTATGATTATTATTTTACGTTTGCTTGCTTCAACACATTCTGCATTTTATAATGATACAAAGGTTATGTGCTCAAAGATTTCTTACTTTTTAATGTTCTATTTATGTGTGAGTAAAAATATTAAATTATGTTATGCATACAATGATCTTATGAAATATGTGATATGTTACAACAGTTTTTATGGCCTAATGATATATAATATAATTTCTTACCTGTTTACATGGAATTGTATAAGCTTTGTTAATAGATCTTTGAAAGAAATTCCTATCATCACGCGTTATGCTTTATTTTCTGAATTGTTTAGTGTTGTTTTTGAGGGAGGTGGTATTTCTTTGCTTTTTTATTATTATATTTTATGTTTTATTCATATTGAGTCTTGTACTTTTCGCTAGCATTTTATATTGTCTTTTATTAAGTAATAATTTTTATATCACAATGTGCTTTAAAATATTTTTAAATAAAACTATTCTAGGAATAGCCAATATACTCGTATATTACATTTATGTAAACCAACAAGTTCGTTGGTTTTCATAAATTATTATTGCAATTATCAATGCGTTCATTTGTGGATATGTGACATCTGACTTTACTACGAAAATATTTATTTCATTGCAAGTATGTTCAGATAACATACTCTTTTGTCATACAGTTTATTATTAAAAAAAATATCTCATGGCTTTTTGAATCCGAGTTCTTTACGTACACGTCATGATGAATTTTTGGTTTCCTTTGATCGTCATGCGGTAGATATTATGGCGATAAATGAGACGTGGTTGAAGCCAGGTGAGGAACTGCGCGCACCTTACCCTCCAGGATACAAGCTGCGACACAAACCTCATCCTGCAAGCATCCGAGCACGAGGAGGTGTGGGTTTTTACATTAGAAATGGTATCCACGCTCGCGTCCTGGAACATCCGAGTACGCTCTCTATTGAACGGACGTGGTTAAGTGTTAAAGCTAATGGTTTGAAACTTGCAATAGGTACCGCGTATCGTCCTCCTTGGTTTCATATTGATAATTTTATAAATTATCTATCTGATACAGTCAGTTCTGTAATAAAAGATGTTAATAATCATAATTAATCCTATTATTAATATATTATTGTTACACCGTAATTAAATATTGTAAGTAGTTAATATATTCCACTACAATTGAAATGTCAATATATGTAACTTAGAAGTATTGAAACTACTAAAATACCCTTCCGCCTGGCAGTGGAAGGGAAACTATAAAATGGAATGACGGGCGTGTCCGAAGATACACAATAGAATTTGTGCTGTAATAGTCGTATCGGAGTGAACTAGTGTAAATTGAAAGTTTATAAAGTTGATTAATTCATTGTTGAGAAATAAAAGAGAATAAGTGTAAACTGTGTTTATTTAACATGAAATATAGAGTGTTAACCGTGAACTGAAGTTTCTTTTTACATCATATAGAGTAATAACTGTGTACTGAAGTTTGTTTCTACATCTCAGAAGTGGGATACCGTCCATAAAAGTGAGTAAGGATGTTTCTTTTACACATATTTATGAAGATACCAGAGTATTTGTTTACCCAGTATTTTTTTACTGTATGTTATTTTTTCTTTGAATTTCGTCTAAAAATTTATTTGGATTAGAAGTTTTTTTTTGTACATATTAATGAAGATACCAGTGTATTTGTTTACTCAGTATTTTTTTTACTGTATGTTTTTTTTCCTTTGAATTTCGTTTACAACTTTATTTGGATTTTAAGTTTTTTTTAAAAAAGTTTTTTTTTTTTTGCTTAACCTTAATTTAAAGTAATATAGTATTTACACTATGATCAATACACTAAACGAGATTCGTTGGGTTCTTTTCTTCGGGATCTTCTCTGAATACCCTTAGTATATACATTATTACCCTCTCAGTTAACTATTTAAGATATAATTTAATAAAGGTTAAGTGGACATAGCTGCTAATACATTATATGCTTTAGTGAGAAATCAACAAACTTTGCTTATAGTTTTATGAATAGTAAGAAAGGAATAAGCTTATGGTAAACATATATATGTCAATGAATAAAACTACTTGTGTGTACTAGTGTTCGCGTAAATATAAGAAATCATTATATAAATGTCATATTAACACGTTCATTGTCAATTCTTACACTTGGATGTGCAAGTTTCAGATGCCACGTGACAAACGACTAAAGTCGCGACGGTCAAAGAAAAGGCGAGATGAACGACGAGACTTTAGCCCAACCCAGTCGCATCACTCGCGGTCTAGATCACGACACCGAGCACGGTCCAGTTCTTCGCATCGTGCGCGGTCAGGGTCATTGTACCGTGCCCGGTCTAAGTCTCTGCTCCGCGTGCGGTCGAAATCGCCGAGACGTGCGCGATCGAGGTCAGCATCACGGGTGGTTTCCCGGACGCCCCGAGTAAGCAGAACCAGGAGGGACTCAAGTAAGCAGAGTTTTAACTTTAATATTACTGGTGACCATAGTCATTCTCGTAATGCAGAACGCGAACATTTGATTGAACTCGATGATGGTCAGCCTAACAGGAACCACATGAACGCTAGCTTATTTGAGAAAATGTTAGATATAATGAAAGATTACAAGAAAAATTCCGATAATAGTGATAGATTTCCTGCTCTTAACGTTATACCAGATTTTGATCCCATGACAAGAGAACAGACGGTCGATACTTGGATTCAGAAAGTAGAAGAGTGCGCCCAAATATATAATTGGAACGATAAGCAAACAATCCATTATGCCTTGCCAAAACTCTGCGGAGTTGCAAAAACGTGGTACCAAGGATTGCCGTCGGTCTTCTTTTCATGGAGAGAATGGAAAGAAAAACTGCTAAACTCGTTTCCATCTAGAGAAAATTATGCAAAGCTACTAACGGAGATGCTTAGTAAAAAATCAAAATTTGGTGAATCTTTGGAATTATATTACTATTCAAAACTTAACCTATTAAACAGATGTTCCATTTTTGGTAAAAATGCAGTAGACTGCATAATTTATGGAATCGAGGATCGTGGTATTAGATTAAGCATACAAGCAGCCCAATTTAATGAGCCAGAACAGCTTTTAAAATACTTTAAAACTATAAGAGTTGGTCAAAATAAAGAGCTAGATGTTAATAAAAATAAAGAGAAAAGGTATGTCGCCTCCAATATTTCAAGCTCTTCAGATACGGGAAAAACAAGCAAACCTGACCATAAAGTAACTTGTTACAATTGCAATGAGACGGGTCATACATTTTACAGGTGCCCTAAGCCGACTATTAAATGTAAAAACTGTAGGTGGAGAGGCCACACTGCAGAAAACTGTCCCAAAAATATTAGCCAAACATCTAAACATATAGATAAACCGGGAACCAGTGTCAAAACGGTAATGGAAGTTAATATACCTGAAAATAGCAATGCGAAGTACCGAGTTCCAGTAAAGGTCAACAGTAATGTCCTTCTTGCTCATATCGATTTAGGAAGTGACTGCACTTTAATTCGATTGTCAGATGCAGAGAAATTATGTGTTAAATGGCAGGCTGTTGATTCTCCCGTTCTGAAAGGATTAGGAAATACTCCTTATCGACCATTAGGAGTAACGTACGTAACTATAGATATTCAAGGTGTAGTTGAAGAAAATGTAAAAGCATTAATAGTAGACGACTACATGATAAGCCATCCTATACTCATTGGACACACGTATACTGAGCGCCCTACAATAGAAATTATTAAAACCCCTTCAGATTTGATTATAAAGCGAAGTAACTTCCAAATTGAAAATGTTAAGATACCTCTTGTAGTTTCTGAAAAGGTAGTCTTAAAACGTGATGGCCTTTCTATAATTTGTGCTAAATCTGAAAAGGATATTTCTGGTTCTATTTACGTTCATGGGGATATCAGGGGACCCCCGGGCAAAGAATATTTCTTATTACCGGGCCAATTTGAAATAATAAACGGAATAACAAAGCTACTGGCTCAATGTTTAAGCGACAATACGGTCGAGATAGGACACGGAACTTTAATAACTCGTGCACGTAGCATAACTAATAATTGCAACGACATGGCCTCTGTTTTAAATATAAACTTAGAAGATGAGTCGATAACTTTAAACTGTGGACTTGTGGATCCCGAGCAAAAGAATAAACTAGCTGATTTACTGGACAAGTACAAAGGATGTTTTTCATCAAATTTGCATAACTTGGGATTCACTACAGCTGCAGAGATGGTCATTCATCTAAAAGATTCATCACCGATAGTATATAGGCCTTATCGGTTATCTTTTGCCGATAGACAATTAGTCCGTAACATGATTCAGGAAATGCTCGACTGTGGAATTGTTCGGGAGTCTGCTTCGCCTTATGCTAGCCCGATAGTTCTAATACAAAAGAAATCTGGGGAAAAAAGGTTATGTGTGGACTATAGAGCGCTTAACAATAAAACAATTAAAGAACATTACCCCTTACCTCGCATCGAAGACCAACTAGATTTACTGAGTGGGAGTAAATTATTCATCACTCTGGATCTCGCATCTGGTTATTACCAGATTCCGATTGAGGAGGGGTCCCGTGACAAAACTGCGTTTGTAACACCAGATGGGCAGTTCGAATATACCAGGATGCCGTTCGGGCTGGTGAATGCACCATCTGTATTTCAAAGAGCAATGAATAAAATTCTAAACAAAGCACGAGTAAAATATGCTCTCGTCTACATGGATGACATCCTGATCCCAGCAAAAACCTTTGACGAGGGCTTATTGCGTTTGGAGGAAGTCCTCGCACTTCTAAAAGAAGGTGGGCTTACGCTAAAGTTAAGCAAATGTAGGTTCTTCTTTGACAAAATTGAGTACTTGGGGTTCGAGATAAGCGCTGATGGAGTTCGTCCAGGATCTCTTAAAACTGATGCTGTTTCGAAATTCCCAACTCCTCTAAACCAACACGATGTGAGAAGATTCATCGGTTTGGCGAGTTTTTTTAGGCGGTTTATAAAAGATTTCGCTATCTTGGCACGACCGCTAACAACATTATTGAAGAAAGATGTCAAATGGCAATGGAGTTATGAAGAACAAAAATCTTTTGAAACCCTTAAGACAAAATTAGTCCAACGACCAGTACTAGCTCTATATAATCCAGAAGCAGAAACACAACTTCACACTGACGCTAGTAAATTGGGCATTGCAGGCATACTTCTACAAAGAAATTCTAATTGTATTCTCCAACCTATTGCCTATTATAGTCGTCAAACTAACCCTGATGAACAGAAACTTCACTCTTTCGAATTAGAGACTCTGGCGGTAGTAGCGTCTCTGAATAAATTCAGAGTGTACCTACTAGGCATAAAGTTTAAAATTTTCACAGATTGCAATGCACTACGCACAACCCTTACCAAACGTGATCTAATTCCGCGCATTGCCCGCTGGTGGATACAGTTTCAAGAGTTTGATTGTACTATTGAACACAAACCGGGCGAAAAATGGCGCATGTCGATGCATTGAGTCGACATGCTATACCCGATGTGAGTACAGAAAATCGCGTTCTTGACATCCTTACGGTAAATGCGGAGGATTGGATCGCAACCGTCCAAGATGACGATGAGAACATAAAACATATCAAAGACGTACTTTCAAATCCTAATTCAGAGAAAATTATGGATATCATCAAAAACTACAAGTTGAAAAATGGTAGGGTCTATCGGATTTTGGATGCAGACACAATCAGATGGGTGGTACCAAAAGGGGCGCGTTGGCAGATTCTGAAAGCTAATCATGATAACGTAGGTCATTTTGGGTTTGCAAAAACTTTAGACCGAATACAAGCCATGTATTGGTTCCCCAAGATGAGAAGATTCGTAAAAAAATACGTCAGCGCGTGTTTAGAATGTGCCCACCATAAAACAACTGGTGGACTAAAAGTAAATAGTTTCCATCCAATTCCTAAAATTGACATACCCTTCCACACTATCCATGCCGACCATTTAGGCCCTTTCAATAAGAGCAAACGAAGGAATAGCTATATTCTAGTCATAGTCGATGCCTTTACCAAATTTGTTAATTTAACAGCAGTGCAAAATACGAAATCTACAACAACTATTCGAATATTTAAAGAACATTTTAGTTATTTTGGAACTCCCGCTAGACTTATAACCGATCAGGGTACAACCTTTACAAGCAAAAAGTTTCGGGACTTTATAGTTTCTAAGGGTATTAAACATGTCCTTAACGCTGTCGCCACCCCTAGAGCGAATGGCCAAGTAGAGCGGTACAATCGCACAATTCTGGCTGCACTCGGCGCAATGACCCACGAAAAGCCTATAAATGTGTGGGATGATTACCTGCCTGACGTTCAACTTGGAATCAATACCACTGTTCATGCCATTACGAAAAAAACTCCAACAGAGCTTTTATTTGGCCATAGAATTACAAATCCTTCCGAAGGGATCCTTAATGACATCATCGAGGACGTTAATGAAAATGAAGTTACCCCTAACTTAAACACCATCAGACAGGGTGCAAAGCTTCTTATAGATAAGCAGCAACATAAATGTAAAGAACGATCCGAAACTCGCGTGAAAAATAACATAGCCCTTAAGGTAGGCGATCTTGTAAGTGTTTTGAGAACTATCCCTAGCCAAGAAGGGCAGTCTCGTAAGTTAGAACCAAAATTTAGGGGCCCTTATCGAATTAAAAAAGTTTTACCGAATGATAGGTACATTATTGAAGATACACCACTAACAAAAAAGGGTAGACTTTATGAAGCAATTGTTGCAATTGATAAGTTGAAACCATGGCTAAATTTTCAGAGTGCCAATGATGATAGTGATGGCTCAAACAGTAGCAGTAAGGACGATGATGACCAAAGTTATTGATTGTTCGTTAAGTCATATTATAATTACTATTCCTTATTCATTATGTGTCACTAGGGCTTAATTTTTTTTTTATAGTCTTGGCAAGTGTTTAAATAGTTATTTGTTTATTCGAACACCAAATGAAATATACAAGATGTACAATGTATTGTATATAAACATGTTTATATAAACTTTTATTTTATTTTTATTCATGTATGTTTATGATTTTTATTGTGCTCACAATATTCAGGGTGTGCACATTAATATAAGATTATCTTATGCTCATGATATTCAGGGTGAGTATAGGAAAGAGTTTGCTCATAACATTCTAAGCACAAGATAAGTGAACTCACAATATTCAGGGTGAGGTCACTACCTGGTCAACGTCCTGTGTAGTCTGCTGATTCTGGTCCAGGGTAGTAAATTGAATGTAAGATTTTACTATAGTGGATGGTAACAGACACTGTAGACTTTACTGGGCGTAGGGTTTTTGCTTGAATGACATGGAATAATATTACCTAAGATTTAATATTATTGTTAAAATATTATGCTATTGTTACTTACCTAGAAATTATTTTTTAATGGCTAAACCAAACTCACAACGATGGGACTCGTTGCAGCAAAAGGATGGCCGAGTTGTAATAAAAGATGTTAATAATCATAATTAATCCTATTATTAATATATTATTGTTACACCGTAATTAAATATTGTAAGTAGTTAATATATTCCACTACAATTGAAATGTCAATATATGTAACTTAGAAGTATTGAAACTACTAAAATACCCTTCCGCCTGGCAGTGGAAGGGAAACTATAAAATGGAATGACGGGCGTGTCCGAAGATACACAATAGAATTTGTGCTGTAATAGTCGTATCGGAGTGAACTAGTGTAAATTGAAAGTTTATAAAGTTGATTAATTCATTGTTGAGAAATAAAAGAGAATAAGTGTAAACTGTGTTTATTTAACATGAAATATAGAGTGTTAACCGTGAACTGAAGTTTCTTTTTACATCATATAGAGTAATAACTGTGTACTGAAGTTTGTTTCTACAGTTCATTTTCAGCCTATGACTGCATTGTTTTGTTAGGAAATTTCAATATTAATTTGCTTGCACCTTCAGATCCTAATTCAAAAAAGCTCAATGATTTTCTTCTTTGTATGGGTCTGAGGCAGTACGTCACACAAGCGACTCATTTTACTGATCACTCGGAAACTTTACTTGATTTGATTTGCAGTAGCTGTGATGTATTTAATATACAGGTTGACTATGTGCCAGATCTGAGTCATCACGCTTTTTTATCTTGTGAGTTGAACGTAAAGAAGCCAAAGCGATTCTCAACATGTATTACTTATAGACCAATTAAGGATATAAACGTACCAAAATTTAATTCTGATGTTGATGCTGTACTGTAGGAAGAGTTGCTTTGTGATGACGTAAACAGTTCTGTAACGGCTTTTAATTCACATATATTGTATATTTTTGATATTCATGCACCAATAAGAACGTCTTACATAAAAGGCCATAGCTATCCGTGGATCACACCAACGATTAAGGAAATGATGAAGCTAAGAGATAAAGCTCACGCAAAATGTAAAGGCATTAATTCCAAAGGTGACAAAAAATATTATAAAGATCTGAAGAGTACTGTTAATACTGCTATACTGAGTGAAAAAATATCCTACTTTTGTTACTTTATTAATAACAATTCAAAAAATCCTCAAGTACTTTGGAGAAATATAAAGAAAAATGTGGTAGACTTCAAAAATAAAGATATTGATTTGCCATCAAACTTGAATGATCCTGACATCATAAATCGTCATTTCCTACACATACCAGGAAGCAATAGTGTAAGTCCTTCAACATTATGCTATTTTGAATCTAACCGTTTCAATTCGTTGGTTTTTACTTTAAAATTAGTGGATGAATACTTGGTGTCAGAAATTTTAAAAAAATATTACCACAAATGCTATGGGTGTAGATGGTATTATTAAAGATATGGTTCTCTTAACTTTGCCACGGACTCTGAGTGCTATAACCACCATTATTAATACGTCGATACTGACAGGAGTTTTCCCAGACATCTGGAAGGAAGCTGTAATAAGTCCAATACCAAAAAATAATCATCTCGTATAACTAAATCATCTTCGACCTATAAGTATACTGCCTTTTTTATCTAAAATCGCTGAAAAGGTTGTTTATATGCAATTAATAGAATATCTGAACCAGAATAATATTTTACCTCTAAAACAATCAGGTTTTAGGGCTGGACTAAGCACGGTTACAGGGCTATTGAGTGTGGTCGATGATATTTTAACAGCGCAGGATACAGGAGAGTCTACAATTTTGATACTGCTGGACTTTTCGCGTGCATTTGACACAATAGATACTACTTTACTTCTGTCGAAGTTGATGTATTATGGTTTTGACTGTAACGCATTAAAGTGGTTTGAAAGTTATTTAAATGGTCGTACACAGCGAGTCAGACTTCAAAATGAAACTGGTACCAACATTTTTTCTGTTGCGTCTCCTGTTACTCGTAGCGTTCCACAAGGGTCAATTCTAGGCCCTTTACTGTTTATTCTCTACAGTGCCGATATTACGGGCTGTTTTAAATATTGCCAGTATCGTTTATATGCCGATGACCTTCAAGTCTACATATCATTTAACAAACTAAATCAGGATTTAAGCGTGATCGCTGAATGGGCGAATAATAATGAACTCATCTTAAATTCAAATAAAATAAAGTTAATGATTTTGGGGTCAAAGAAATTAATAGAACGAACGAATGCTCATAAGCCTAAAATTGTTGTTGGTGGCAACTATTTTGAACAGGTATCCGAAGTTCGTAACTTAGGTATAATTATGGATAGTAGCCTAAGGTTTGAAAATCGTGTTACCCATACAGTAAAAAATTGTTTTTACAGATTAAAAATATTATATAATAATTGGCAATACCTTAGTGAAGAATTGAGAGTTCAACTTTGTGAGTCACTAATACTCTCGAAGCTAAATTATGCTGATATTGTCATGGGAGAGTGTTTGCTTGCGCGAACCAAACTCGTTATACAACGAGTACAAAATGCATGCGCTAGGTTCTGTTTTCGAATTCCTCGCAGAGGTCACGTGACACCGTTTTTAAATCAGAGCAAACTTATTAGCATGAAATCTCGTAGATCGGTTCACTACAGTTGTTTACTGTATAAAATATTACAAAATCAACAACCGAAATACTTATATGAGAAGCTCAGTTTCTCGCAACGTTCCTCACGGGAAACTGTTCGCTTGTTGTGCCCAAGACACAGAACGGCTGCGTTTCGTGGTAGCTTTCGGTATGCTGCCACAAAGTGTTGGAATAATAAACCACCTCCGATCAAATAATATCTTTTAAATTTGCAAAGTTAGTATAATTCTGTCGATGTATCACACCTTTCTTATGAAGTAAACTGTGTTTGTATATTATAAATATACTTGCGTAATTCTCCATTTATTTTAATTTTGCATCTTATTAAATAATTGAATTGTGTGCCTTGTGCCTTGCATATGCCTTTTGTTACGGTTTTTGCTGCGTTGGTTTATTATTATTGTGCCTTTTTTTTTCCTAAATGTTAACATTTTTTTTTACTATTATTTATAATATTTATAAGAGTGTATTTTTATTTTTATGCTGGAGCTTGTGATTAGTTAAGTTTATTTTATTGCACCTATGTCTCCGGCGTTTACTGAAAATCAGCGTTATAGTTATTACTTCTTCAAGACAAGCTGTATTGAAGTTGCGTAAGTCCCGCCGCATGCATTTGGAGATCTGTCTGTTCAGTTGCCTGTATGCTGTCAAATCTATTGAAGAATGTAGCTTCATCTACCGTCTAACAGCCATGAGATTAAGAGTGTGATCGGAGAGTTTTTGTGTTCTTCTACGGCGGGTCTTGGAGAACTTAGCTCCGACCGCATGGACAGTTTCCACGAGCTTGTCATTCATATCGTCCACTTCATTGCAGTCTTCTAGGCACTGAAAACGGTTTTGTAACTCGAGCTGAAAGGTTTCGGGACTTTGGAACAGAGCACAAGGGGGACGGAGCGTTGACTTCATTAGACGAGACCTCTCCAACTTAACGTTTAGGTTCAGTGTGCCTCTAACTATTCGGTGATCGCTACCAGTTTTCACCCTCGGGATCACGGATACATCACTGAACAGTTGTCGTCTGGTCGTCATAATGAAGTCAATCTCATTTTTTGTCGAACCGTCGGGCTCGACCAGGTCCACTTCCTGTGGGGCCGCATCTGGAAGAAAGAGTTCATCATAAAGAGTCCCTCTTTTTCCATGAAGTCGGCCAGCTGCTGGCCCTTTGGATTCCGTTGCCATATTCCAAATTTCCCTACTTTCAGCTCACCGTTCTTTCTTGTGCCTAGTTTTGCATTGATGTCTGCCATTAGCACCGTATATTGGGATTTGGAGGAATGCATGGCTACATTTCCTCCACCTCCTCATCGGGGTGTGCCGAGGTTGGTGCGTAAACCTGTATGATCTTTAGCGAATACCGTTTGGTGATTCTGAGTATAAGGTACGCAACCCTCGTCGACACACTCCGGATCTTTACAACGTTGTTAACGAGAGACTTGTGGACGATAAATCCGACACCTCCTTGGGACAGATGGTCGCCCTCCCGGTAATAGGGCAAGTTGCCGGATTCGAGGATTACCGTGTCCTCCCCCTCTCTTCGGACTTCGGATAATCCTATAATATGCCAGCGCAACTTGTCTATCTCTTCTTCCAGCTCCACAATCTTCTCGTCAGTCCTCAGGGTGCGTGCGTTGTATGTTGCCAGGTCGAGTCGTCGTAGGTGGCAACCGAACCTCCACCGGAGATTCTTAGCACCCCCTGCCCCGCCGTTACCATGGTCGCCACCGTAGCCAGGAATAGCGGGGCCGCCGGGGACTAGGGGCCGTTTATTATTGTCATTGCTCATGGGGGGTATATTGCCATAGTTGCCACGCTTGGCGAGCGGGTTGGGAACCGCAGTTTTTTTATTGTTATTTTGGCTATTATCAGAAAGATGCTGCTGCCCATCTCCTGCCTGTTTCCCTTTGTCGCCTTTTACGACACCCACGGGAAGATATGGGGTAGTGGATATTCTTGACTCCCACTACACTACACGACACGCAATTTGGTTTTGCGTTGTTACATAGTGAAATCTAATTACAACACCTCCTCTTAGTATTTGCTCCGTGGTTTCGATTCTAAGATCGCTCTCATGCATATGCTCTTTTGATACCCTCTATGCTTAAATGTTTTTTACATAAACCAGCAGAAAAATACCCTTGCGGAGGCGACCCGTAAAAGATACTAAGCATTTTTAGAGGTTATGCGTGGTTTCGCATATCAATTATTTAGTGCTAAAGAACATCGCTAGAATGATCACATAAACACATCAACAATTTTTCACATAAACAATTTTTTATACAAAACAATTAAGAATGATCACACTGTCGAACTTTTGGTGATCTTTATTAAGAATTAAAATGCAAATGCGTTGTCACCCCTGCGGACTAAAACTGAATGACCGCAGAGTCTACTTCACCCGAGGATGCCTTGTGTAGAGGCGAAACACGTGTCGTATTATCGACGGTGGTGTGTCTTTTCTTGTGTAGTGGTGTTGGGAGTAGTGGTTCTGGGATTAGTGGTGACTGGGATAGTGCACGCAATTAAAGCGACGTGGGGGGGGGACCTTCCCCCCCCCCCCGTCTCTTCAAACTAGGTGGGACACATCTTTTTTCTACTGACTTCCAAAAAGGAGACGGTATTCAATTCGACAGTATGTTTTTTTTTAATGTGTGATTATGTACCTCATAACTTTGTACTGGGTGAACTGATTTCGGTGATTCTTTTTTTATATGAAAGCTGATATTTCTCGTGTGGTTTCATATGAATTTGGTCAAGGTCAGACCAATGATTATTGAGTTATTCTTAAATAACTTATATTGAAGTCGCTTATATTGAATATAATTAATAGAATCAGGCGTTACTTTGCGGAAATCCATTATATAAAAGCTTTTACAAAAATTTACTTCGCAAATATCCGCGTTATAAAATAAAATGATGTGTCTTACCTAGTATGAAGAAGCACCTCCCGCCCTCCCTCAATTGCGTGCACTATCCCCGTCACCACTAATCCCAGCACCGCTACTCCCAACACCACTACACTAGGCAAGACACACCACTGACGATAATACGACACGTGTTTCGCCTCTACACGAGGCATCCTCAGGTGATATAGACTCTACGGTGGCTAACCGCTAAGATATCTATCACCTGAGCTATCAGCTTATATTGAAGTCGGCTGTACAAAATTTTTAATTTTAAATTATTTACTACGCGGATTGTTTTCTTTCATTCATTAGCTATATTTTGTCAAAAATCTTGGCAATTTTTTAAACAATGAAATATTGATAAAAATGGTCCTTGATCCAGGTCAATCCGGGGTTGTGTCGCTAGTAAGATAATAATAGTGCAATAATGCATAAGATCATCATCATCATCATCATTACAGCCCTTCACAAGTTCACTTTTGAACATCGTAGGTCCTGAGCCACCTGCATCCATCGATTTCCTTCATTTATTACGCGGACCTGAGCTAATTACTTTTTGATATATTTAAGACAATGCATTTCCGCAAAGTAACGCCTGCTTCCAATAATCATCTTAATCGACTTAAATTGTTTGTACACCAATTAAATTGTTGTAATCGCACTTATTTTCGCTGTATATTTGCAACGTCGGCATATCTACTACCCCACACCCATCATTCCTTGGGTGCCTCGTAATAGGCGACAAAGGGTAACCAAATCAGAACACTATCCATATCCATCTTTACCACCAACATCATCTTCCAGGCAACCGAAAATAATAAAAAACTGCATATGTAATCCTACAGCCATGGGAGCTATCATCCCCCTCAATGCAGCGGATTTTTAATAGGCTGTAATGGACGAATGAATCGGAGGTTCGGAGGTGGAGGTAGAGGCCGATCGGCAGGAGGTTTCCTCATGATGTCTTCCTTCAGCGCCAATCACGTGGTAAATCAGCACGTAAAGAAAAAAAAGAACATCAGTGAGCCGTGGTAGCTCAGAGGTTAACGCTCGCTGTAAATTTCACAGTACGCGAGGAACCCTGGTTCAGTCCCCGCCGGCATTAATAAAATTGTTAATTGCAAGTGCTTAAATTTTGTTGCATTTTACACAAACTAAATAATGAAATGGCGGCGTCAAGGCAATGTCTTGGAAAATAATGATTAAAAAGTAAAGTTATCAGCATACTCAATCCTATTCTTGCGCGCTTAATACTAAATAACGACTAACTACTATAAAAACGTTTAACAAGTGTTTATATTAAAACTGTCTCATCCAGTAAAGCTAAAGTTATTGTTTATTCGAAACTCTGTGGTGAATTGTAATTCCATTCACCAAAAAGCATTTAAATATTATCTGTGTTGACACGGGTCCAGAGCGACGTATTAAGGGGACCTACACGACTGGATCACGACTTCGCGTTGCTGACAACTAAACGTTTCAGGTAAATTGTGGAAACTACGTACCTGAGTCTTGGATAATTGCTTTTTAGAGAATTACTTGGTCCTTAGATGTTTTTATAGAAAAGGCAGACAAGCATTCGGTTAGTGGTAAGTGATTACCACCGCCCATGAACAACTGCAACACCAGAGGAATCGCAGATGGGTTGCCAGTCTTTTAAGCAGGCAATTTTAAATTGTTTTAATTTATTTTTATTTTACTTTTTAATATACGCACGGAAGGAATAGATGTTCATGTATGCAATATTGCTTTTTTATAGAATAGGTTAGTGTGACAAACGAGCACACAGTCCACCTAATAGTAAGT